AAGAATATCAAAACATAATTTTACCCTTCGGGACCAATCCAACAGCCACATTGTTACAACAAGTGGTAACCAGCCAATTGCAGAAGAGCCGAAGATTCAATTATACGTAGGGCCAGTGACCGGTTAAGGTAGTGGTACCGTACTTTTCTCTTCGTTCTTCTTCGCCCGAGACTTTGCTGCATGGGCACTCCTCATTTAACCCTCACACCCGATTTCTCGAATTATTTGGCAGAGTGGACCGGGGCGCATAGACCACTCAGATCCTTAGCTGAGCGTCCGACGAACGATCACCCCCACGGCTAGTGACAGAGTCGTGAAATCGTACCGGTACCCAAGCAAGACCAGGCCCGGATTCACCAACTGAGCGCCACTAAGGCCGGTATTCGGCAATTTTTGTACCGGTAACCGGCCGGGATTTTGGTTTGAGCCGGATTTTTAGACGAGCCGGAATTTTTTCCCAAATTAAATTCATTTTTTTTTTCAACGGTAAAATTGCGTCCCAAAATTCGCAAATCTGTTAACATTTTTCCCAAATAATTTTTGATGAAATCATCGAACAATGGAGACTGAGTCAATCTAGATTTAAATAATCAATGGGTTTTCATGCCGTCGATTTTATATTTTCGTTTATTGAATATGGAAAAGCTAGAAAAATATGACTCATGAACTTAATTAATTGTGACTAAGTGTCACGGCTCCCCATATCCAATAAAATTGGTGAATTGTCCTACATTCCTCATTTTTTCGTTTTCGGTGGCCCGCTCGCTCGCTCGCATACAAAAGTTCTTTGTATTCGCGCGGTTCAAAGATTTTTCATGCGGATTCCAGATTGCATTTGACTTTTTTAGGGCCCGGAATGCTTTTTAATAGATATCCTAGGTACGTTTGGGGTCGAAAAGCCCCCGAAAAATTTTGGAAATTAAAACAGATTTGGCCTCCTGGAACGAATCTACAATGAGAACGAGTTTAGCATACTATTTTCTGATTTCAATTTTATTGGATAAATGCCTGGATTCTAGAATCCCTAAACACTGGCTTAACTAAAGCACGAATAGGAGACAAGCATGAAGTATCAAGAGTTTTATATTTTTGGCAAAAATGTTTCTCATCTACTACCATCACTTTCTGCTTTCAAGCTATAAACTAATACAGTTAAGGTATAACATTGAAGACGTGATGTGTATATGCTACTGCTTGCCAATACAGATATCGGTGACACGGTAGACAAGTCCGGTTCATAGACTAGATAAGTAGATATAAAATGTTAATAAAGTAATAATGACAACTATTTATGGTCGTGTACGCGAAAATAATGCCCCAATATTTACTCTGGTTAGGGGTTACTTGAGCACAATTTTGGAGCTAATATCACAAACTCTGGTCTGTGAAACAAATTTGATAGACTGGATCAGTGGAGCCATGACAGAGGACATTTAAATAACGTCCAGCAACTTTTAGTCTGTTCTTCACTTATAGTCCTACTGATATATTAATCGATAAATTCTCAGAGTTTGCCTCTCGAATTTCCTACTTTTTGTCAAAAATTTCCTACTTTTAAAAATTTCCTACATTCTTAGAATGCAGAATGCTGTTTTGGATATGGGCAACGGCTCAACGGTCTTTGTGTTACCGAGGGACAAGTAAAAAACAGTAAAGTTCTCCGGTAAATAAAGCATTTAATAAATGCTATTCAGTAGTCACTTTTCACCCTATTTAATTATTCAAGGTAAGGTTATTAAATTGTAAAGTATAAAGCTCCAACGTCAAACTCCATGTTCAATTAAAATTAGTTTAAGGACACTCATTTTGAGTTAGAATATTGGTAAATATACGTGACCCTATTAAAAGCACAGTGTATTTGACTTGTCACACACTATAATAAAACAACCCTGATGGTTAGGATAATCGTCTTCGATCCTACTAGGCTAGCTTTGTCACTTAACCATATATTAATCAGGTGATAAGATATTCGCTTAAATACTACGCCGGCACGGAAATGGTTCATTGGTCACATTATAAACATGTGACGGAGTAAATTGGACCCCTTGCTGCCGTTTTTGAACCAAATTTTTTGAGTGTCCAATTGATTGGATGGGTAGCATATAACCATTACCTACATATTGAAGACTTTTTCGTTAGATGGTGCACTCAGGTGTACTCTGCACACATTTAAGAAAACATTGAACAATGTTGTTAGGGCACACTGATAAGCAATGCCTGAGTTAGTGTAGGTTTTTTTGATGCCCTGGAAGTGCTAGGAATTGTTATTAATTCATATAGTCGTAAGGAATTAAAACACAGAAGGCACAAACCAAGGTTTACTCTTTTGTCACATGGTAATCTTGATGATTTCTGAACATTGTGAAATTAAAAATATTGATATACCAGCTTAAACCCCTTATATTATGTACTATGGATCAACAACACTGCTAGTACCACGCACAGTGCATCAGTAAACATTATCCGGTGGTAATATTTAACAGTGAAACTGAGTGAGTTGGTTTAGAAACATATAAGAGATACGAAGATTTAACTTGTAGAAGCTTTCAATAAACATGTGTTAATCGTCGTCAGCTGAAGTTGATGAGTGACAATGCGTATATGTGATTGAGTGGGTGTCAGGGATGGAGGGTGGGGGAGGAGTGTGGAAAGGGATAATTACTTTACAATGTCCTATAAAAAAGTATCTTCTGTGAGGTTGAGGAAGGGAAATGCCAGCTGGTCTTGGACTTTATGGATTTGCAATTTAGGGAAGGATGGGGTCCCCAATGTTTAACAGTCCCCATAATATTTATCAGTGTCACAATTAAACAACCGCAACATGACAAAAATTGGGTAATTTTCGTCCACAACAAAATTATTATAATTCTGTTAGCTCCTGCTGCAAAATAACTATTAATTGATGAAAAGATACAATAGTATTCTAATAGAGGTATAGCTCTTCAAAATAGGGCAAGACATTACAAAGTTACCTTTGTGTTAACATCAAGTAATTATTAGAAGAGTAATAATCATCAATTTAACCGATACTTTTTCGAAGTTGGATCGATTGATATAGGCAATAAAGCAATACAAACGCAAATTTTTAAACACACTATCTGATATTTTGGGGCAGGACAGTTAATTTTTGTCACAAGTTTCAGCGTCTTTTGACAAATTAATCAAAATTGTTAAACTTGAGCTCTGATTTTCAGACAAAATTCTACCAATCGTTTCAGAAGAATGTTGAATTTCTAATAGAGTATTAGATCTTCAACAGAGGCAAGACATGTTTTACCTTTGTTTGTTGTGGCAGGAAAAGTTAATTTTTGTCACATTTTTAGTGACGTTGAAAAATGTAACCTAAAATTGTTAACCTTGAGCTCATGATGTTCTGGACAATATTCTAAACCGAATGATTTCTGAAGAATGTTGAATTCTTATAGAGTCAAAGAATATATAGATCTTCAAAATAGGGAAAGACATGTTTACTTTTGTCACATCAGTTTATTATGAGAGTTATTTAACAATATTTCTTCTATAATCATTGTTTTTTTAACCTATTTACGATTTCGTAATCATTTTTGTGACAATGTAAACATCAAATGATCTTAACTGATCAACACATTGTCATCATGTAAAGTTTTCCCGCCTTTCAAACCAATATCATATAATATAATTCGCCCAAAATTTAAAAACCATATATTGTGACAGAAGTGACCTCAATTTCCAATAACCAAGTGCAGTTATATGACAGTCTATTCCATCTATAATCATTGTTTTTTAACTCTATTTACCTATTTTTGTGACAATGTAAACATCAACTGATCTTAACTTGCATCAACTACATTGTCCCTCATGTAAAGTTTTCCCGCCTTTCAAACCAAAATCATATATAAATAATTCGCTCCAAAATTTAAAATGCCATAAGATTAGATGACACATTTTACACATTGGTTGGGGTTGTATTTTTAAGTGCTCCCCTTAACAGTTATTTGTTGCTAAAATCGCGATAAGCGAACGCGTGCTATGGTACATTTATTGTAACATGCTTGTATAACATCAAATAGTGTGTGTAACTGACATTTAAAGTTCAATATCAGACAAGGAAAACCTGAAATCATAAGCGATGATGCTAAGAAACGTGTACTGGAAGCCTACTTAACAAAGCGATGCCCCCAGCAAAGATGTTCTCCAGTGTGTATAGTTTCAGTGCCCAAGTTTATAAACCAAATCTGAAAGATATGAAATCACTCACGCAGTTCAACTAGAACCCTGTGCAATATTCTAGGTTTAATGTCCAGAGAGGGTGTAATAAACTGGACACGAAGAAACAGACTCTATGGATAGAAATGATTCTCAAGATCGATCCTTGGTTACGCGGACATAGAATGCGTGGACTGTAACGCGGTGAACTGTAATAACTTGGAAAAGAACCGCTTCTTAAGATGCCGGCTAATGCTTACAGCTCCCACACATTGGAAGCCATGGCCAGAAAAAGCCAAGACCTCTACGACCTCATTCAGAATAGACTGCTTCCTTAGGAGGAGTCTTGGCTTCTGCTCCGAATGTTCAAAAGAACAAACACACGCTCACTTCACCTCCCCAGAAACCTACCAAGAAAGAAAACAGATAGTATTACAATCATCCAATATGAAAGAGGTTAATCTGGTGTAAGGGCGAGGAAACGACGATGAAGATGAAGATGAGGAAGAGGATGAAGACAGGGAAAGCCCTAGAGAGGTAGACCATGATGATACCGCAAATAACACCCTGAAGGTGGCCGGGAATACACTATGTGGAAGTGCCCCACGGCCTCACTGGCAACGTCTCATTGGTGGGAAGAAATGCTCATACCAGCCACCCCATCAGGTGCCGCCGCTTTACTTCCAATTTCGGAGAACGACAAACGCAGAGGATGCAGGAATGGGAAGAAATGCACTTTTTTTTCCACCCCTAAACTGTGCCGTAATTCAGTTGCAATCACGTTATGGTTTTTAAACAGCGATTGTGGCTTTCCATCATCTTAAAGGAACGGGGTCCAAAAGACTTTTGAAAACGTGAATCTCACTGACAGAATCGCCTGCCTCACACGAGCAGCCCATAAGATACGAGAAGAATAGAATCAACACAACAGAAGTCCTGGCCGCCTCCTGGTGGTTATGAATTGGACAGTCATGGGTAGTCTAAACACCCTCAACACCCCCAACCCCCACCCACGTTTTGAATATCATAAACCCCTCAACAACGAAAGACAGTACATCTGAGAGGGATAGTGCGTTTTTTTAGAAAGCTCATGGAAAACATAAAAACGGAATTATAACCCAGGATGAACTCCAAATGAGGAACTTCGAGCAAATTCCAGCCCCTTGTCCAAGAGACACAACGGACCAGATGGACCCCCGAGATACGCCAAACATCCTCTCAGCAAATCTCGACACATTTCCCACCAACCAGCACAGTTTCTCAGCCAAGGTGCCTCTCCAAACCAGCCATGCGGATCCGATGCCACTAAACTTCATTCCCAACCTCGCAAGTATCTTGCTACTGAATGCAGCGGTCCATCTCCCAGCCGCCAACCAGCATGTTAAATGGAAGATTCCATTCATCCTAAGACCACATACTTGACGACCTAGGAAGACCACCGTCCCTATTCTCGCTATCACTGAATCATGGTTGAAGCCATATATCATTGATGCTCCAAATAGCTAGAGAAGGGTACAACATCTTAGAAGACAGACCGTCATAGTCGAAAAGGGGTGTTGTGTGCTTTACTTTACAACTCGCTGCAGAGTATCAGATACTGTAAATTTTAGTGACAAACACTGCGTAAATGGCTGCATTGTTTCATAGACTCTATGAACGCCCTTGTCTCCGTTATATACCGACCACCAGATCCTCCCCCGGATCCTCAAAGCAGTCCTGGACAGTTGCGGAGAAACTAAATACTTTAACATCGAACGATCGATCAACCTGACATCTACATTATGGGGATTTCAACCCTCCCAAATATAGATTGGGACTCTTGTGCCAGCTTTACCTGGTCAACCCCTTTGTGACCAGCAAGCTTGTTCCGAACTAATTGATTTCATGGAGAGAAATTTCTTGAACACAAAGGATCTTAAGCCATCGAGAAATAACAACACCATCGCGTATCTCTGCCTAACAAATTAAACCACAGAACACAGTTAGACAAATATCCCGAATGCCAACTTATCTGACCAACAGGCTAGTCGAGCTCGTTCTCGGGAATAACCCTCTCCTGCCCAAAAGAACATATCCTATATCTTTCGACAGAAACTCTTTTCGGGCGACTGATTTTCATAGAGCAGATTTGAAGCATTGAACCGTCTGTTATAAGCTGTTAACTGGATCTCTTTGAGAGAACTCGGTTATGAGATGCAGATGGAAGTGCCTTTCTTGTGCGGATAACGCCGAACTGTCCTCTCCAGATAACCCTCCTAAGAACTCGCCTTCTTAAAGACCCTACTGGAGTCTGGGCCCTTTCCCCCCCCGTAAAGTCCGCCAAGTCCTGAAAAATACACAATGAAGAGGATAAGAAGAAAACTCAATCCGCCAATAAAGTGAACTTACTCCAAAACAACCCAACTTCCGAGAAAAATCGAAATGCTGAAAACCGAAGTGAAATCTCTTACCTTCGAAATAGAGACCTTGTGATCATGCACTAACGAAAAAGAAGTTAAAGCGTAAGTACAATAAAGACGAACCCAAGATTCTTTTTATTCTTACGCTAAACGTGTTGCAAAGGTAAAATCATCCGTCTCCCCAATTAGAGATTAAAAACGGAACACTTAAATGGACCCAGCGAAAAAGCAGAAATTCTCCCAGACTCAATATGTCCACATCTTCAGCAACCCACATTCTGCAAAAGGTTGAAGAATGCCTCGCCGGATTAGATCCTCTCCAAAAGAAGATCTCAACACATTCACCTTCACAGCAGACACATATCCGATGCCATAAAAGGAACTGGAGACCCGTATGCCTCCGACCCTGATGGTGACATCCCGGCCAAGATCCTAATAAATGTCGAAGGACAATCGCTGAACCAATTTATCTACTCTGTAAACGCTCATTGATAACGGAGTCAACATCCGGCATGAAGACACAGTACTTCACGCCGTGTTTCAAGAAAGGAACCGAACATCTGCCGCTAACTATCGCCCTGTCTCGATAACCTCTCACATTATTAAGATATTGAGAGAGTGGTCGAAATCATCTTGTGGACATATGGAGTCAAACAGCTTTCCTCCTCCTCCCCCCACAGCCATGGATTCCGCAAGAAAAAAGCTGCTTAAACTCACTAATAGACCACGTAGATACCATCGCTGAAAACTCTCAACGACGGCAACGAGGTGATGTTTGTATACCTTGATTATGCCTAAGCGGTCGATAAGTAGATCATCATATATTACTTGCAAAGGCAAAACGCTATGAAAAAAGGAAAGACACCTGCAATGGTGACTGAATTCCTAAGGATTGCCCTGCAAACTGTGGTCCGTGGAAGAACAAAATCATCCTTTCAGCTAGTAAGCATGGGTAACCCCAAGGAACAGTATGGGACCCATTATTTTCATTCTATTACATTGACGACCAACTTGATACATTGGTTACCGCTCTGGGAAAGGTGTTCGCTTGACGGCACCAAGCTCATTGGTAAAAATCATGGCCTTAGCAACCAAAAGCCTACTTCAAGACACCTCCCTAAATGTAATCGCCTTGGGCCCTGACGAACAACATCAACTAAATGAGGCCAAATTCGAAATAATGGAATTACAGCTTGAACAATTCATTACTGTAAGAAATTGCCCTTCACCAGTCAATATTCCTGTTAAATTTTATCAAATGAAAATAAAAAAGAAGAACTCTTGACCAGTCCAAAATGTGAGGACCTAGGGGTTTCTCCTGTCAAATGACTGCTCCTGGTCTTCTCACATACAGCAGATGGCTAAAACAGCAAGGAAGATGAAGTCATGGGTCCTTACGAGTCAAAAGGTCACGCTTCCTCAGCCTCACACTCTACAAAACCATGGTGAGAAGCAAACTCGAATACGCGGCCCCGGTGTGGAACCCTACAAGATCAGCGATTATCGAAGCTAATTGAAAGCATCCAACGAACAACTACACTCGTCGATATCAGTGGCTGCCAGCACCGTGTTACAGGAACGCCTGCAGATCCTGAATCTTCTCTCATTACGAAAGACGCAGAGAACGATACACCCATAATCCATACATGGAAGATGATGAATTGATTAGCACCGAACGACATCACCATGCAGTTTCAAGAAAGCTCCCGACACGGTGTAAAGGCCACTGTGCCTGCATTAACAAACAAGGCACAATGCCTCAAATCTCGACCATATGAAAACTCTTTTGGATTAATAGCAAATACAAAAGCCAAACATGGAACCCTGCTCCCCAAGGAAGTTTAAAAACACAATCCAAGTCTTGGAAACTTACAAATCCTCCCTGCAATTCCTGAAAGGCTTCCCGGACACCCCGCCCAAAAAAGGGTATACCGCCATCACAAATAAATCTCTTCTGGAATGGACTCTACAAAACGATCTAAGCCAGGAGTGATTGGAGACTTACTTGATACTGTTTGTCCAGAAGCGAATCCCTGCGAACCTAACCTAAAGTAACCTAAAGTAAGTAAGTAGTTGTGACAGAATTTAACCTCATTTCACAATATACAAGTGCCTGTATAAAGCTACTATTCGACACAACATATTTATGGCTATGATTGGTAGATCAACTATCAAATAATAGTTTAAAAGTTTTTTGAAGGACACCTCACAATAGAATAAGTTTAGAAAAAAAATGCAACATTCCTCACATTCCGCTAACAACAGTCACGGCTCATTAAACGGCTGATGTGTTGCTTACACCTACAGTCCTACACCTAATAACTAATAATACAGCTAATTTGATTATATGTAGTATCTGGACGGGATACTATCTGACCTTTATAATGCAGATTAACTGGGTGACGGGTCAAGCAAACAATAATAATATGCCAGTAGGTGAGTTCTTTAGGACGAACATTCTATCAACTCCAAATATGTAATACTTGTGATAATCGCAACTTCTGCCAGCTCATTTACCAAATTTACAAGGTTACAGATACCCCCCCCCCCCCCCCCTACATCCCTACATGCTATGCTCTAGAGGAAAGGAGATTGATCACAAACCGGCAAACTTAATACATATATAATAATATATTATTATATTATTATATACACACACACAAATTTTAAAGTGACCAAATCCAATAAACTTAGTAACTTTAAAACTCCCTAAAATATCTTCTTCAAGTAATTTTTTCGAAAAAATTGGGATCCGCTCGAGTAGCCTGGTGGTTAGAAATTTTGGCTAGGAGTACCGGACAGAAAAACACTTCTGAAAGGTAAAGCTGGGCACTAAACAGTGCATGCCCACGGTAATTGAGTGCAAATGTCACGAGATACTGATCCAGCAGCTTGTACATCTGCTGTTAGTACTTAACGTACTCTAATGAACTGTAAATACAACATCTAGACAAACATCATTTCTTTAGTTAGTACGCAGTGTTAACTCTAACAAACTGTAAATACAACATCTAGACAAACATCATTTCTTTGGTTAGTACGCAGTGTTAACTCTAACAAACTGTAAATACAACATCTAGACAAACATCATTTCTTTGGTTACCACATCATACAGTTTAAGGTTTGAATCTGCCAGGATAAACAACTCCCAACACTAATTGTGAAGTATACATAGTCACGAAATACAATAAGTAAATATATGGTGGATGATATCTCGTTGAATAACTGATCATTAAATCTTTACTAAACTTGCTCACGGGGGGGGGGGGGGGGGGGGGCAATGGCATAATATGCATATATGGCATAATATGGTATAAAATGGAGTCTTTTTCTATGCAGAAAATGGAAAAACCCTTGAGTAGTTCTCCATTTTATGCCATTTTATGCAATTGGCACCACCCTCCCGCCCCCCCCCCCTTGCTCACTGTTAAGAGTAACATTACAATGCTACAGTAGTGCCTACCCCCCCCCCCCCCCCCCCCTTGCTCACTGTTAAGTGTAACATTCCAATGCTACAGTAGTGCCTACCTCGGTCAGATGAACTTTACGAGCAACAGGTTTCATCCTGTACTTTCTTCTAGTCTCCTGAGGGTGAAGTGAGGGGTCTGCCATCTGGGACATGTTGATCCTCTTAGTGGCCAGAGCTTTGTGCTTCCCATTGGGGCCAATCTGTGGGAGGTTCAAATAAGACGACTAATCTGTGAGAGGTCAAATAAGACGACTAATCTGTGAGAGGTTCAAATAAGACGACTAATCTGTGAGAGGTTTAAATAAGACGACTAATCTGTGAGAGGTTCAAATAAGACGACTAATCTGTGAGAGGTTCAAATAAGACGACTAATCTGTGAGAGGTTCAAATAAGACGACTAATCTGTGAGAGGTTCAAATAAGACGACTAATCTGTGAGAGGTTCAAATAAGACGACTAATCTGTGAGAGGTTCAAATAAAACGACTAATCTGTGAGAGGTTCAAATAAGACGACTAATCTGTGAGAGGTTCAAGTAAGACGACTAATCTGTGAGAGGTTCAAATAAGACGACTAATCTGTGAGAGGTTCAAATAAGACGACTAATCTGCGAGAGGTTAAAATAAGACGACTGATCTGTGAGAGTTTCAAATAATACGACTAATCTGTGAGAGGTTCAAATAAGATAACTAATCTGTGAGAGGTTCAAATAAGATAACTAATCTGTGGACTGTGAGAGGTTCAAGTTCAAACCCTTGATATGCGTCATAAATTAATTAAGTTACAAATTTTGGGTTTCAAATAAACCTGGTATCAGATTTAATTAAACTATTTGAATGAAAATGTCATAAAGGATACTTATATAATATATATCTAGATTAGATTAAATATCTAATGGAGTATTGTGATCTTCTCTCTTAGTTTCTGCATTGAAAGTAGAATAATTATCTTATTACTTATGTAAATAGATATACTAAATAACGTGCCAACATTAGAATTTTGTAATTTTAATTTGTGCCTCTCTAAACTAAGTGTGGAGAAAAATACTGCTAAAAATACTTGCTCTTGATTGAGAAGTTTTTTAAATATCAAAGATTTCTCAGAATATCGCCTAAAGTAAAGATTTCTGATCAGCAAATCTGGTTTAAAGAGATTTCTCAATAAGTAATTTCATGAAAAGCTTTCAATATAAGGCTTTGATCAGTGAATAGTAAAGTGGAGTTCATTTTAGATGAATTTCATCAAATTGAGAAAGAGAAACCCTCTAAATCAACACTGTACCTTGTGTTACATTCACAATAAATGTATTAGTTAGTATAGTAACCTGGGTAGGTGTTAGAATTAGATATTTATATTTAATTAAGGTTCACAATGTTCATTTTCCAGACGCTAGGTATACACTACGTACTATAGTACTAGGTCGCGCTTGAATGGCCTGGATATATTATATCTTTTTGGGGTATGTTTTAATGTCGAAGCGTGGTTAAATTTAATTAACAATACAATTAATTAACAACACATTTAATTAACCTATTTAAATAACTCACATTCTCTACAATCAGAGTCCAGTATTTGTCATCGAACTTCTTCTTCTGGGAATTGGTATCCTGAAAAGCAGTAAAATAAGAATTATTGTTTTGTCTACTTTGTTTTTACATTCCAAGAGAATACGTTTGTAATAAATGTAAATGTCACTAAATACTGAAATTTTACTCGTGAATAAAGCCGATGCAATAAGTGGTTGAAGTGCAATTGACAGATTAGCTTACAATGTTACAAATACTGTGCGGTGTAAGTTAAGACTAAATATTGTTTGATCTACATTCTACACTAGTGTTATATGATGTAACATTGAGTAATTCAAAATATGTTTATTTCATTAGCGTCTCATAATATTCAAATGTTTGTCACACGTTCAGCATAATTATGATAATGATTTGTAATATTATTACAATTACAAATCATTCTTAGAACCTGCTGCGCTTCAAATAAGTGGGCACCATCGTGCATATCATTATTATGTACTATGGTGTACAATATGTATCGTGTATAATACATAGTGTATACAATGTATAATGTATATTACATAATATACATAAAATTTGACCCGCAACATCTCCAGATCGGAAAATTTAAGAATAAAAGCATTTAAAAATTTAGACCGATTATCATCAGTGTCTAAATAATAACTATGGCATTCATTAATATTTCTTTAAACTCCACAGTTGAATCCGGTGACCAACAACTAGGAACCTCTCATTCCGGCCTCCCACAGGTATCACATCACATGGCCCAATCAGTGACGTATCATTTGTGATGTGATCCATATTATTCACATGACAGTTTAGTAAGTAGTTGTGTATTATAAAGGATTTTAAGAAGTGTTTGAGCTCTCGGCATGTGTTCACATAACGGACGCGAGCCAGGTCCAAAATGGGCTGGTTCTCGTATCCAAGGATGTTGAACCTGCTTCTTAGTAATACGAACAAAACACTGTAATAATTGTTCGACTTCTGTACTTGGAATTGATGTGAACTTGAAAATATTTTGCACATATTTCAAGGCTTCCTTTTGGCGTAACACGTATGTTACTGCTACAAAAGTAGAAAAGTTCATTACTACATTCCACACACTATAATATGTTGAACAAGATAGTCAACAAGTACTAGGATTAATACTGAAGTATTCTTAATATCAGGTTAAATTTAGGTATTTTCTGTTCTTAAAGTAAATCTTCAAATTATATTAATTTCGCGCATCCTTGCAACTTCTATTTTTCTATACTACTATTCATTAAAATCTTCTGCAAAATAAGTAGAATTGCACCGAACAAAACAAACCAGTTTAAAAAAGTATTGTTTACCAATACAATCAGGCCTCTCTATTTGTATTTTGTAAACAATCTTAGTCAAGTGTAACATTGCATTCAAACCATCAATGATCAATCTTCAAAGTTTTTGAAGATTACAATCAGGCCTCTATATAATGTAAACAATCTTAGTCAAGTGTAACATTGCATTCAAACCATCAATCTTCAAAGTTGTTATTATTCAACAAACCATGTAAAGTGTGATGGTTGCCTCCAGAGCGTGCCAGTTTACAACTCCTTGCGTGTCCTTCCCAGGTAGGGTTGTCCATGATGTTGCCTGAAATTTAGAAAATTCATCATATTATGTGCATATGTAATGCCTACAACACTGCTGATACCCAACAACTTATTCAATAGTGTACGATCATCAGGGTTAAGATGCTAAACAATTTAATTAAGCTATAATATGAAGATTAGGACAATATATCAAAAGTAACCAGAGCTAGACCCCCCCCCCCCCCCCCCCCCCGGCCACAACCAGAACTTACCTCAGTTCGAACCTTCCTCCCCCTTCTAACCCACAGCACTGACACTTGATTTGGAGTCCTGTAGAATAATGTTAGGTTAGCTGAGGAATAAGTTCAACATGGTGTCAAGGAAATCTTTTAAAGTATATTACAATCTTGAATTCTAAAGAAAACAAGAACTTCCCTCTAGGGAAAATTTGGGCATATATTTATGATTATAAATAGAAAATAACAGCTTACCATCCAGAAACACATTCAAGAGTAACAGTGTGTACTTTTATGGTGAATTCAAACTTGTAGGCAGTTTTACCAACACGCTGCAGCCTTCTCCATACCTTGCTCATTTTACATCCTTAGAAAATATAAGTTAAAAGAAAGTAGCTTAGAAAATAGAACCAGAGTTAAAGGAGCAACCGCTTTAGTTAAATACATGATCTTTACCCTAACATCCTTAGAAAATATAAGTTAAAAGAAAGCAGCTTAGAAAATAGAACCAGAGTTAAAGGAGCAACCGCTTTAGTTAAATACATGATCTTTACCCATAACGTGAGACGTCATCTGTATTGTCATATATTGCAAATGTACTGGAAAATAAAAAGAGTTTATATATTGTATATTATATATGTATGTATGCTTTGGGTGCAGTACTTGTCAATATCTATTTATCTATAACAGATAATTGTATTTATCAAAGAATCTGGTTTTTCCATTATTGGTTATGCAGATGATCATCAAATCATGAAATCTTTCAAACCCTCAGATCAGGTCAAAACCTTAGCAAACCAACTTAAAAATTGCTTCGTGAGGATAGAGAACTGGGAGTCTCAATACCATCTGCAGCTGAATCTGAAACTCAACTTATAGGCTTTGTGAAACTCAACTTATAGGCTTTGTGAAACTCAACTTATAGGCTTTGTGAAACTCAACTTATAGGCTTTGTGAAACTCAACTTATAGGCTTTGTGAAACTCAACTTATAGGCTTTGGACCAAGTAAAGTTCTCAATGAGATAGGACTTCCAGGGTTGAAATCGTTCCTAACACATTGGTAATGATTGTGCCTACTGTTAATAACCTTGGGTTAGTTATGGACAATAAGCTGGTATTTGATAAAAACAGATCGTAAGAAGACAGATCAAGAGACAGATCACTTAACCTGACTGTCTCAAGAAAATTTTCAAACCAATTTATTTTGAAAATAAAAGAAAGCGAGTTCTGCTGAAATTAATATTATAGCTGAAGAGGGTGGACTAGTCCATGATGGGAGAAGAATGATCCAAAGAGCAAATACTATTTTATGATTTTGAATGCGTCATAGCATATTAACATATTAAGCTGAATAAATCAATATCTTTATCAATCATGATCATAGTAGCATAGTACGCTATGCATATGTTTTATAATAGGTTAAAATTCTTCCAATTACTCAAGTTATAGTCGTCTAAAGATCTCTGAAATTGACCTAAAAGTTATAAAAAATATCTGAAACTACAAAAATCCTAAATTTGTCATTCATAAACACAATTGACAATTAGAACTCTAATGAAGTATCAAATGTGCACAATCTTTTAATTTTTCAAAAGCACTCAGCATGTGTCTGTGTCTAAATGTTTTTCTGTCCTCTGGGAATAGAACAACAACACAATAAACGCGAGCACGTGATATTTGAAGATAAAGTGATACCAGGTTATCTTTTGTTGATAGGTCTACTATTGAATGTGTCATCTCATGCAATACAATAACTATTGGCCACTCAGCTGAGTAACAATTCATACTGTCAAGTAGAGTTATTTTGTCTTTCGTAACGCATCGTTTTTCAAGAGTTTGAGAAACCAAGTTCAGTACATCGTCATCAATTAGACTATCATGAACTATGCATATATAATCAAAACTTTTACAAAGTTTATCCAATTCATCGTTTGGCAGTCTCCAAGAAGCTCGACTGGTCCATGGACCAGTGGTCCATGGACCACTATAGGTGGTCCATGGACCACTTCACCAAGGTACAGTGGTCCATGGACCACCATAAGTCAACTCATGAAGATTATATCTAATTTTTTATTATCAATTGAAATTGGCATCTTTATGATTGCAATATGTATAATAAGTATTACAAAAGTAAATAACATACAATTTACATAGATAGAGGGAGAAGGTCGGAGCTCTTCCTCATCTCCTCTGTCTTTCTGAGAGAGGCAGAGTCCTCAAATAAACAGTATTTACATTGATCACACAGCTTGGTTCCCTTGAACTGATCAGCTAGGTGATGATAGTGTGAGGAGTCGACAAGCTTCATTTCTGCAACAAAACGCCACTTGTAGAACGTTGATCTGGGCATCTGAATCTGCTGAATAGCCTGCCTTGCGCTCGTCCCACTCTTCACCATCTCCAAAACAAGAGGATATTGTTGATGGATTGCTGCTTCCATGTTCCTCCGTGTGGTATTCCTCCGTCTGATAGGTCCTGCCGAGCTCTCTGGTAGTGGTTGAGGAGGCGGTATCTCGATGAGGTTGAGGGGAGAGTCGACAGTTGGGGAGGTAGGTAGAGGAGAGGGGTCTCTAGGTAGCAGGTTCAGTGGATCGTCACCACTCTCTAATCTTTCGAGAATCTGCTCAGTGTGCACAGACAAATCCAGGTCTGTATCTGCGACTTGAGAAGGAGGAGCAGAGGACTCTGGAGCTATAAAGGTTGGTGGGAGTGGAGGAGAATCCGGAACGTAGGTAGGGGAAGGAGGGGAAGGGGGAGGAGCAGTGGAGTCTCCAACAAGGTGGGTTGGGCAGAGCTTTCGTTCTGTGATAGTGACGGTTCTTTCGACACCATCAAGGACTGTAATTGTAGGACCCGTTCTTTTCAGCACTGTGCAGTCGGGGCATCTGGAAGGAGGGACAGGGAGAGCTGTAGAATTAGTTGGGATAGGAGCGTCTATGTTGACAGGATCCATAGCAGCGCAGGATATAGAGGCATGGCGCTCACCACAGTGTGTGCAGAAGTTGGGGTGTGCAGCCAGGACAGGAAAGAGAGGACTTCAGAATACCACGTTGAAAGAGGAAATCCCTTGCATGCTCATCAGTATTTGTAATCCGATGGATTTCGTTGTGTAGTGAGTGGCTCATATTGAAAACACAGTAGTGGTGTACAAGTATCTGTCTTGTATATCGAAAACGACGATGGCTGTGTACCACAATTCATCTTATATATCTCTGCGACGTTTTTCGTAGTTAATACTGACATCTTGCAATCTTAGCGAAGAAGTCTACCGTATGATTGGATCATATGATAATGGAAGCTAAAGTGCTTGCTGATACCATGGACCTTGTTAAAGTGGTCCATGGACCACTTGTTCAGTGATAAGGTGGTCCATGGACCAGTGGTCCATGGACCACCTAGAGTGGTCCATAGACCAGTGGTCCATGGACCAGTCGGGCTTCTTGTAAACTGCCCATCGTTTAGGATATTGACTATCAAGGATTCGTCATGGGTCTTCATGATGTGCACTACAGTTTTGGGGCCATGAATGAAATGGCCTGGTCGCTGTTCAGGTAAAACCATGAGTAAAGCATCCAAACTGTGAGAACTGAGTCCTGGACTTGTGTAATATCCAACAAACTGACTTCTTAGTATCGTCAGAATATTTGATAGGTCACAAGTATTTCTTAAGTTTTTAGATAGAGTTTTCAGTTGACCCGACGAGAAATGTTTAGCTAATGAACTTGCTAAGTTGAAGATATCCGCGTCTTCAGTGACGAACCAATACTGTGCAATGTCGCAAGCTATGCAGACAGTTTTAGAACATGATAGATTCAGCAATGTATCAAACAGATCATTGTATTGTTCTAAGTCTTCCATCGTATTCCATCAAAACTTGAATATCGTCAACAAACACGTGATAATCTTGCAGCAAGCGGAGTGTATAATTTGTGAACCATGTAAGATTTACATATCCCGTTATTCGTACGATGATGACATGAAATTTTGATTTCCCATCCGATATCTGGACATGTAGATTTCCACAACGGTTCCATTAGCTTGGACAATCTGTATAATCTTTCCACACAAGATTACGGTTTTGCCAGCTCCTGCGGGTCCATTGATCCAAAATAAATTTTCACTTGAATTAAACAAGCTGGTTTGCTGAGAAGTTAAGTTTGATACTCCAACACATTCCTTGATTACTGCAGGGGCTGAGATAACACTGGGGTTTTTACCTTCGAAAGTGAACTTTCCACTTCGTAATTTTTCGCTAATGGTGACTATACACTGGTCCAAACTACATTTTTCTTTGTCAAATTTGTCCTTATCAGTACACCAAATCGCAAGTAACATGTTTCTTGCTTTCTTATGTTTGTTGAGCAACTCCTCTTGTGCATCGTCTTCATCCAAAATGATAGATTTAATGTTATTCTTCCACCATACACTGAAACTGTTAATTTCTTTATCTGTTAGGAGGAAATCTTCTGTTGTTTCCTCATCAGAACTTTCTTCTTCACTTGTTTCCTCTTCAAAACCATCTTGTAAACCCTCATTAACAGTTTCTTTTTCTGTTGTTTCTTCTCCAGTCATCTCCTCTTTATTTGCATCACTTTCTGTTTCTTCTTCTTCTGTATCTTCTAATGAGGTCCCTTGTTGATTGCAGTTAGTTTGTTCAATGTTGTACCACTCTCTTTGAGATACAGATCTACTGTTTGGTGGTGAATGTTGGTTTTCAGTTTTGACTTCCAATAGATCTGTAATGTAATTAACTGATTTTTCTTCAGCAAGTTTTATAAGATGCTCTTCAAAAATGATTGAAGATATTTTTGCATCCGCCAACTGAAACTCATTCTGGAAGTGCCTGCTGAAATTTGGATATGCAGTGAAGTGAAAGACAGTCATATTTTCATCGATACAGTGAATCAGTTCCTCCATTTTTTTCCTCTGATCCAGTGATTTGTGAAAGGTTCCATTCAAAGCTTGCAGCTGCTGTACCCTGTTAATTTCACTCACCTCAACTTGGTTTAATGCGGATTCATTGACCGTATCTTTCACTCCTAGTGATGCCATGTCTTTAACTTCAATGATAACAGCATAGTTTCTGCCCAAGATCAAAAAGTCACATTCCCCTTCTTTGTTTCCAGCGTTTTTCCCTTTACACTTTGGACATCCCTTCCGGACATGATTTTGGTCACACAAGCGATATTGGTGGTGTGTGTACTCGAAGTTATGGAGAACAATAAAATGTTCGTCGAGTTTTTCTAGAGCACGGTAAACCCTGACTTCAGCCTCATAGTTTGACTGTCGTTGTCTGTCGTCCTTGAAATTAGCTCCTGTTTGATCGTCATTGGGATATACATCAATATAAGTTTGTTCTGGGGCTCTAGGAAA